GACGAGCTAGTTTGCGAAGCTGTGTGGTAAAACGCTGGTGCAGCAAGTCAACATCGCCGAAATACTGATCCTTCATGCACGCAGCCATGATGTCCATGTCGATGTCCGCATTGATGCGTGAGAACTCATCTACCATGACTACATGTTCATGTGCACGGTGTAGGTGGTGATCATCAATGTCCGAACAGCGACACGGAAAAGACATGTCAGGAGTCCATCTGCGTTGCCATGTGCGGTAGTTGTAGATCCTGTCTCCCAAAGTGGCACTGCGAGTTTCCACCACCCGGATCTTTGGAAGAAATAGGGAGGGGAACAAGTCACGATGTGAAGCGACCCAACGTTGTAACCACGTGCCAAGCTGAGCTTTCCAATTCCGTACATGTAGAGGTGGTAGAAGTAGTTGTGTCAAAGTGCTTGGTGATTGGAGCTGTCGTTTGCGCATCACCTGGGCGAGGAGCTTCTGTGCCTTTGAACGAAAGGGCTCGTTGACGAAGACGGAGAGTCGCAGGAAGTAGTAGAGCTGAGTGGGAGGAAAAGCCGCCGACAGAAAGTCTCGCATGGCCTGGAACGACGCGCCTGTGTTGGATCCCAGCTGATAAAGAGAGGAGTAATGCGCTTGAATGTCATCCAACATTTCAGGTCGTAATTGCCGTTGAAGATCTGGATGTAGTCGTCGTCGAAAACGTTTGTGTAGCCCGAGTGAGGTGGGAGATGACAACGAATGACGTCGAAAGTCAACTAGATGCTCCCGGAAGCCCACCTTTCGAAGAAGTCTATGTGCCCAGGGAGCATTCAAATGCGGACGCAGCAAGTATTGCCACTTGCTTTCCTGGACCCAAACCGAGGAAATGGGAAGTTTGATCTCAACCGGAATGGCACAGAAAAGCCAGTAAGTGTTAGTGCGCTTCCAGTAGTGAAGTGCAGGTTCGAAGAAGGCATGACGTCCCCGAAGTAGTTGTAGAAATTTGCGACTGCGTGAGTGTTCTCGTCGTGATCAGTTGCACCAACGTAGTATGGAGTGTGCCATGGAGAAAGTCGGATGTAGACGCATGGTTGTTGATGGTGACCTGGATCGTGAATGAAGTCATAGAGGTCCGGGAAACGTGTCCGTAATGAGCGAAGATGTCTTGTGTCTGCAAAGGTGGAATGCATAATTTCACACAACAGAGACGTCTTGTAGAAGTGAAGAACCTCGAAGAACGGCGGGACATATCCATAATCTTGAGAAATGAGACGCTGCAAGAAACTGATCAATAAATAGGCCGTGCACCGGCACCTGTGAAGTTCATACCTGTTGGCCACAGTGTGGTAAGACTGTGACATGGCATGAATCGGAATCTGAAGTGCAATCCGGACCACAACTAGTACTTCCAGAATACGGCCCAACCAAGGTAGTTGTACAACTGACTCATATTCATCCATTGGTATCGACGGTGGTGGAAGTCCAGGAAAGCAGTATTGCCAGCACGTAGAGAACATTGTCAACGAGTGCAGAAAGGTGTCTAAGGAATGCCATTGTGCAACAACATCATAGATTCCACAGCGGCGAAGCTCAGCCAACATGGTGAACATGCAACCAATGAAATCTACAGTGTGGCGGCGACATGAATGCAAGCGGCAATTAATACCAAGCAATTGACAACGCAAGCACAGACAAGCGCATCATCAAACAAGTGCAAAGCAAGAAGAGGACGTACGAGTTTTGAACCTATCGTGACTCAGCTGCCGCTCCGGGCTCATAAGTGATCGAAGGGAACTGCTCACCCACTGAGTAAGCGGGCGGTCACGATGAGGTGACACAGCGCCTTGTCAGTGAGCTTGGTGAGGTAGCCAGGCTCCAGTCCCCACAGAGCCGCCATCGCCGCAAACGTAGGTGCGTCTCCTTTTGGCATGCGTTGACGCGCCTGAAGGAGTTGCATCGCCATGGAATCCAAGGACTTGTTGCCGTTGAGACGGGACGGGTGATTGGCCCACTTGATCAATGACGCCAAAGTGGTGGTTGTGGGCGATTGCTTGAGATACAAGCGTGGCTGATCACTAGTTCATGTGTAGTACTTGATGACGTCATCCGGCGTGCTGTGCATGGTGAGCAATTTTGACGCCGCCGGCTTGGAAGGCGGTGAAGAAAGTCCGTGAAGAGACTGAATGATCCGGGGTTGCACCGCGCCATCAAACGACTTGCCATCAAGGGCGGCTGCGCTGACCGTAGGGAGGGAGCTGGGAGGTGACGAAGATTGTGTGTGGTTGGCCGGTGGTGGTGTAACCAACTCTGCATCATCCTTCTGGTTTGGCACCGTGGGGGAAGTCGAAGCGCGTAACGATGCTGAATACTGAGCCTGGAGCAACTCATGAGCACGATTTAGATCATTGAACTTCTTGACCATGTCATCCGTTTGGGTAGAGGGCGTGAGAGTGGCGTGGTGTTGCTGAAGAAACTGAAGCACCAAGTTGGCCAAATGGTCATGAACCTTGATCCGCTGATTGAAGTCGTCCAGGTTGAGCCCCAGTGAGCTGGCAAGGTCCTTTTCCAAGGTAAGCAGGTTGATCGACTGGGATCGTCGTAGTAGTTTGGAACAGGTACTCCAAAGTAAGGCCTCGGTGCGAGTGCGAAAGCCTTCCCACATCACGAATCTGCCGTGAGCAAACGGTCGGAGCAGCCAGTTGGTGATGCCCCCGTGAATGATCTGAACCAGGCGAACGTCACGAATGTCCATGCCGGACATGTCACGTAGGTTGTTGTGCGGGGTGTTGGCGACCGTCATGGGCAGGCTGAAGTTGTAGAGCTGGTTGATGTCTAGCATGCCATCTCCAGGTGTCCAGTCAACCGATGGTGTAAGCCAGGCTTTCTGAGGTCGAACTGGCAGGGCTGCAGGGTATCCAGGTGATGGTGTAGCTTGCGAGGGAGTGACCGGTGGTGGCATCACGGGCGTCATGAACTTCGCTGGCGTGGGCTCTGGAGGAACCGGCATCATGTAGTTGACCGGTGAATGATGGAACTGCTGCGTGGGGTTTGGAATCGATTGATAATTGCTCGGCATCACCGGGAAATTGTTGCCGGAGTTGTAGCCGGAATTGTGTTGCCAGGATACCAGGTTGTTCCAATCCATGCCCTCCGAGACCTGGTTGTCATTGTGTTCACGTCGGCGTGCTTTACGAGCTTGAGGGGAAGGACTCCGATCACGTCTGCGCCGAGTCCTGGATCTGTCACGATCATCACGTCGAGACATGGTGGCGCAACCAACTCACAACCGCAACACCTCAATCTTGAGAGAAACGAATCCGACAAAATGCAAGTCAATGCAAGTTGCAAGTTTAAGTCAGCAGCCATCAGCAGCAATGGTGAGACGTCTCTATGATCTGACGGCTGTCTTCCCTTTAGTGAAACCTCGTTCCTGGTTAAATGTGAAATTCCGCTGTTCTATGATAAGTACGTTGAGTTTTCCGACAAAGCCGGCCCGGGGTCACACAATGGGTACCCCCGAGGATTCCCCATGAATGGGGTGTACACACTTAAACTCCAGATGGAGGGTGCTAATCTTTCGAGTGCAACTGATGAGCCTCGAGTACAACTGATGAGTCTCGACTGGGTTCTGCTCGCGATGCACTCGGCTTCCCTCTAGCAGCGAACACGTTACCCGAAAGAACAGGAAGCACAAACAGCGCCGCAACCAAGGGGCCAAAAGGACTTTCAGAATCACTGAAGCAGGTACAAGATGCTGCGTCCAGCATCTCCTCCACCCGATTTCCGTAGCTTCGTTGGCACGGCTTGGAAATCAGGCGCCGTGCCCCCTGTGGTAAAGGTGAAAGCTTGATGTTGGTGACAGGGTATTCTGTCACTCCGCACACACACACACGCACACGCACACGCACACGCACACGCACACGCACACGCACACGCACACGCACACGCGCACACGCGCACACGCACACCACACACACACACACCCACACACACACACACACGCACACGCACGCACGCACGCACACACACACACGCACACACGCACACGCACACACACACGCACACACGCACACGCACGCACGCCCCACACACACACACACACACCCACACACACCCACACCCACACACACCCACACCCACACCCACACCCACACACACCCACACCCACACCCACACCCACACCCACACACACACACACACACACACGCACACGCACACGCACACGCACACGCACACGCACACGCACACGCACACGCGCACGCACACGCACACGCACACGCACACGCACACGCACACGCACACGCACACGCACACGCGCGCACGCGCACGCGCACGCGCACGCGCACGCGCACGCGCACGCGCACGCGCACGCACACGCGCACGCACGCACGCACGCACGCACGCACGCACGCACGCACGCACGCACCCACGCACGCACCCACGCACACCCACACACACACACACACACACACACACACACACACACACACACACACACACACACACACACACACACACACAGACGCCCGCGCGCGCGCGCGGGCAAAGGTGTCTGCCACATGCCAGCCTTCCGTCCAAGGTCTTGGCAATCGGCTCGCGCCACTAACCCGCAAGCTTGCCTGTTCAATTCTGTTCTTGGGGATTCAAAGAACAACAAACGTGCTAAACCAACACCAAACTACCAAACATATTTCAGTGAGTCACATGATTGTGAAATTTGATGAAGAACCCTGTGGTGGACATTATTATGGGAAATAGGCCAAGGTCAATGGTCAATATTTGTTGTCCTCCTAACTGACATTACGTATAATGTTGCAAGTAACCCCCTAATTTCCTAATGGTAATTTGGAGAGTGTACCCAATATCATCTCCTTGACTGCGGACGCCAAATATTGACTCTTGCTTTTCTATTGAGGGTTATGTAGCACCCTTCACTTGACTGGTGGACCTGGCGGAGACAGGGCACCGGGATTGACCATGAGTAAGGTGCCGAGATTTCGCTGGAATCTACTCACCTTCCCCGTTTAAAACCCTGCGCCTGGGAGCGGCCTTGGCCCGGGTGGCCACAAAGGGCACTGCCGGAGCCTGGCGCGGGTTATCTTCAAATGGCCATGGGTCAACACCAATGGTACCATTTTGGAGTAGGTGCACCACCCATTTTACTTTAGTGGGGATTGGGATCTTCACTGGGGGTCTGGGGTTTTGACCCATGGCCAAATGAGCGAACTGGGGTTTCCCACCTGACACCATCCACCGGAAGTTATGCTGGTGGTTTCAAGAGTTCCCGGCCACAGGTAACTTTGAGAACCCTACCCAACAAATCCAACTAGTGAAAGAAGAAACACCCAACTTGTGATGCACGTACTTTCCACATGATTCGTTGGCATTTCCAGGTATGGGGTTTTGACGCATGGAGGCTTGTATAAAACCAATACACGCTTGCAAGGCTGCTAATTATTACTAATATCATACCCCTTCAGTGCATGTCGGTTCCTTCAAAAGGATATCCTCAATAACAAGCAAGCAAACAAGAAAGCAAGCAAGAAAGCAAGCAAGAAAGCAAGCAAGCAAACAAGCAAACAAGCAAGCAAACAAGCAAACAAACAAACAAGCAAGCAAACAAGCAAACAAACAAGCAAGCAAACAAGCAAACAAACAAGCAAACAACCATAACACCTTTATACCCTCCAGACGCACGCCTGAAGATGCTCTCGACTGCTCCGGTACCAAAATGGAACCCTGGTAAGTGGAAACATGGACCAAAACCTGCGTAATCCCTCCTGGTTCATTTTGAGCCACACCCACTTTGCGCAACCAAAACTTCTGCCATTGCGCCTGTTTGTTATCCGGCTCCTGCTTCGTCGCCTGGCGGGGGGGCTTCAAAGCCGCGTCTTCAAAGCCGCGTCTTCCCCTCGAACCCGCGTGCCACCGCTTTCAAGGGAGCAGGGTGAATACCCAAAAAGGAGTTCCGAATTCTACTTCTGCCGCATGTTTCTTGGGTGGTGGCTTCAAGGGTGGGGTTACTGTTTGTTTGGAACATTTTGGAACCCTTGAAGGTGAGCAAGCTGAGCCTGTTCTACGGACACTTACATTCCCTCCGCAAAGAAAACATAGTAACTCAAATGCTCAATAACAGGTGTCTCAACACTGCCAATTCATATGTAAATCTGCAATGCAAAGTACTTCATTTGGCATATGTGTGTTTTCTTGAGGGTACCTTTCGCAGGTTGGCTCAAAGGGAAACCAGAAGGACAACCACCAGTTGGAGTTATAATATAGCACCGAGGAGGTTCAGTCTGTGAATAAACCAGAACTCGTCAAGAAGCGATGGTTCAAACAGCCATCCCAATCATTGGACACCCATCTCCCCAAAAAATATATCCTCATCTGAGCCAAAATCAAACCTGGTATAAAAATGGTTGACCCAGAACCCTGTAAAGAATTAAGAAGGCGGCCGCAGCTATTTCTGGTTGGGATCCCCCCTTACTAACATCCATCTGCCCAGGTTTTGATTGTGGCTCATCTGAGGTTCTCTTGAGTGGAACTTCCAGAAAAGGACGTTCCTCATTGACCAGGGGGATACACTCACAAGGTCCTCCAGTAGAGAGGTTAGAATAATAAGGGTACCCTTTTTTGTGTAGTCTATTTTAGTAGGGGATCCCCCCAAAAAAAGGGTGAGAAAGGGCACTACTGGGGGACCTAGCTCACAAAGGGGTTTCCTCAAGGCACAAAGAGGCAGGCCCACTTCGCTCCAATTCTTGGCGTGAAGCTTGCTGAAAGTCTCCTTTTGCAGCGGGATGATTCCGTTGGAAGGGACCTCGTTGGCTTCCCTTCACACACCAACCAAGGGGGACGGGGGACAGACAGGAGGACCTGGGCAGGGGCGGCCACCATTTTGAGGTCAGATATGCCTAAAGATGCCGAAGGCTGCTTTGAAAACAATTAAAGGTGCAGTTCGGACTCGAAAGACGAGCCTTTGGCCGTTTTTGCAATCACGCTCTTCGCTCTGGTGGTGCAGCGCATTGGCAACGCAGCAACCCCAAGACACTGCCATTGGCTCCTTCAGGCACACTCGGTGGAGCATACATTCAGAGCATGTCGAGGATGCGCAAGTGACCACATTTTGTTTTTCCCAATAGGCAAAGACACAAAGGACGTTTGTAGGCTTGCGACAACCGTTGGCGAACTCTTGGATTTAGGGTCTTCGTAGAATGTGGTTTTCTCGAGAACAGCCCAGGCAGCGGGGTTGGAGCATTGGCTTGCACCGGACCTCGAGGAAATGAGCTGATGGAACGCGTGGTTTGTCATCAGCCGACAAAAAACTCCCCGTGTGCACTGCTAACTAACAGGCCAAAAAAAAACACGAAGGGGTCTTGAACAACTTCTTGCTTGTCCTTTTGTACCCTCAAAAGCACGGCTTCCCGGACCCCCAGTGGCCATTGAAAAACGTGCACCGTTTTTTAGTAATATTAACTTTGTAAGTTTTTTGAGTGCACTGTAAAAGGAGATCATCCTTTAGGACATAAGAGGGGATCTCCCTTTTTTTGGTAGTTTGCCAAGTTTTGTAAAGGGGAGATCCAAACTCCAGACACCAAGAACTCCATCCTTCCGAGTCCATGCCCGAGCCTTCGACTCGCGCTTCTTTTCCCGAGTTCCTTGCACGGAGCCCCGCCCCAAGAGGGGGGCCCCTCAAAGGCTGGGTGGCTTAACCCTGTCTAGGTGCAAAATCAGGGGGCTCTTGAACAAGTGAAACATATCCGTCCCCTTTGCGCCTTTTGGGGAAATTTGCAACTGACTATTTCAGCACCCATCTCTCGTGCCATCTTTGGGCCGTGTTGAAGGGAAGCAAAGGGAAGCATGAGGGTCCAGGACCCATTTTCGAAACCTGCTTGACTTCACGGCCGGGGGGGGGGTCTCAACGTTATGGATCCTCTTTTGGACCCCTCGACCATCTACGTATCCTCGACGTGTAAGCTCATGCCAGAAACAGGGACAAATGCTCGAAGCAAGCAGATCCGGGTCAGATCTGGGTTCACGTATGTCTGCAAGCACGTAGACCTGTCAACTTCAGTGGTTATCCAACGTGCATGAGAACTGCAGAGTTGCATTTCGTCAAACAATCAAAGCATACCGCTTCTTCTCGGTTGCTTTCTTATCCCCTGTTAAAAGTTTAACTTCTAGTGGTTTAATGGAAAACCCATTAGTTGGCAAAAAGTTAAAGTCCTAACATCCAAGCAAAATGCACCAAAGTCTTATTGTTGAATATGGTGACCAAATTCATCCAGCATGCAGCATGGTCAGTGAGGCGTGACAGAAGCCATCCAGCTGCAATCATCAAAGACATCGGAGCACGAATGACCTCATGTAGCATTGGCAACCCCGCCGGCTCCTAAAATCTGGCACCCTTTAATTTGTCAGATGGTGTGAAAACGAAAACCAACAAAAAACTCGGTGGCAAAGTTTCTGAAATCCAAGGTGCATGCGAGCACATGTCTACACTTGCTGGGTGTGGAGAATCCTTCTAGCTCCCCCAGAGAGTGGTGACGAGGACATAACTTGAATCCTTTCCAAAATCTTCGACCTTGCCAGGTACACATCGTCTTCTACTTTGGGTGTGCCTTTAACCCTGCTCCTTGTAAACATGCCAGTTGGTTCAAACCTATTGTAAGTTCATCGTTGTCTAGTCGAGAACAATCTTGGAAACTCCTGCGGGCCGAAACCAATTGCTCAACCCCAGTTTTTGCCTGCCACCCCAGACTCGCGCCGGGCCTTGCATCGTCTCAAGGAGCTTTTCCGTGCGCTCCTCGAGGCGTTGTTTGGAGTACCCCACGCACGTGCCTCCTGGTCCGTCTCAACATCCCAGACATGTTTAAAGCTTGAACTTCCGGTTTGCCTCTACATTCAAAGAGATATGTTAGTCACTGGTGGGAAATAGCTTTAAACGCTTCTTGTTGCTTGCTCCATATAAGGGTTGGTTCCACCCACCCACCAAAGAAAGAACAAATGACATCTCCAAAAGTTAACCGCTTGGTTTTGAGCAAGTCAGGACTCCCATGTCATCTGATAATCAGCTGTTGCTCTTCCCCTCCTTGCCAATACTGGTGCGGTTGTTTTTGGCTAAAGTGTCGTCTGGTGTACTGCACAGTGCGTGACCTTATATTACATTGAAAGTAAGGACGTGCACAAATTGTGTGAGTTAACCGTACGTATCAGTTGAAGGGCCTTGGGTTCGCTTGCTCATCTGATCGTTTCCAGAAGGCAACCGGCAGAGCTCATGGAAACAACCTTTGTTCGTTTGTCATCTTGGAGAACTCGCCACGCCGACTTCGCAGCAGGTCATCGCGGGGTACTTGTCATTTTTAGTCGCAGTTTGCTTATGAGGTGTCCACAGTAGATAACCCAATGGCCTCAGATTGCATACCTCCTTTTCCGCCGTTTGGAAGCAGCATGATCCTTTGGGAGTTTCCCCAGCAAGCGGCTTTGCAGGTCCCCCCACCCCCACCCTCCCCCGCCCCACTCCAGGGTTCATGGCCCTTTGTTGCGAGATGACATGTCTCACTCCACTGTCCAGGGCCATCATTTCTTTGCTAATTGCTATCAAAACAGCCCAAAAGGGCACCTATGGCGACAAACCAGACAGCGCCATCGAGCCATTCCGACTCAAAACGCAAGCAGCGCAGCGTGACCGGCGACAGGCCGGCACTAACCTTCAACGGGCACGCGCTCTACCTTGAACATACATCCTGTCATGGGTCAAATAGGCGCTGAATACGAGAAAGATGGCCTTACCACTGAACAACTGGGCACTTATCCCCTAAGCTAGACACGTAGTTACTTCGAAATCAAAAGCGCCCTCGCACCAAACCCAAGTGAACTTGGGACCATTCATACGTTCCTTCAAAAGGAGCATTGTACATAGCACTTTCCTCTGGATCAGCGTTCGGCTTTTTCATGGCGTCTAGCTTTCCGCGCTGAAACGGACCTCCCGTCGGCCGGGACCCCGACGCCCGCAGCAGCCCGCTCGTCCCTCAGTCCAAGCATGTGCCACTCGTGACTGCAAACACGACGACTCGTCTATCGTTGTTTGTTGTTTGTGTTATTTTGTTTCTGGTTTGTTGTTGTTTGGTGTTTGGTGTTTGTTGTTGTTGCGAGTCAACCAACAAACCACCGCGGAAAATCATCGATTGACACGGGCTCCGTAGATGATCAAGCTTCTCATCTTGACGTTGTGCGCTATCTTCCCCTGAAAACATGACCCCTACCGAAGGAAACTCGCTGCAGGAAATCCGGTTCTATACATGTCCATCTCAGAGTCTGCACCCCCCCACTTTCGGTGCCCGGGCTTTCGCTTGAATCCACCTTTGTGAGAGTTCCTGTTTTTCAGGCGTGATCACCACGAAGGTCAGGCGTCAGCACCACCACCACCCCCCCCCCTCTCGCTGCGTTGCTTCCAGTCACCACCACCACCCCCCCCCCCCCTCTCGCTGCGTTGCTTCCAGTCACCACCACCACCCCCCCCCCCCTTCTTACCTTTGACTCACCTCAATGTCTAACCCCAACCCCTTCGCCGCCACCACCACCACCCTGCACATCTTTTCCTTCACTAGAACCACCACCCCCCCCCCCACCACATCTTTCCTTTGCTAGACCACCACCACCCCCCCCACCATCTTTTCCCTCGCTAGAACCCCCCCCCCCCCCGCCCAACTATGATCACCACCACCACCACCCCCCCCCTCCACAACCACTACCCACGCAACCACCACCACCACCCTCCATTTCCATCACCACTTTTCGGGCTTGCCTGAAGAAGACTGTGGAACACCCGAAACGACTGCTGCTAGCTACTTAGTACATTTGGCAACAAGCTCTTCTTCGAGCATCATGGGGGGGCTGCCGCCCCCCCCAACCCCCCCGCTACTTGGTACATTTGGCAACAAGATTTAGCTGCGCCCCTGCTCGAATCATTTCTCCGAACATCTTTGCAACATCACTCCTTCACCCTTGAAAAAAAAGAATTTGCATTGCGCGCCTAATTGAATCACCGCTTCTTCGAGCATCATGGGGGGGCTTCGCCCCCCCCAACCCCCCCGCCACTTAGTACATTTGGCAACAAGCTCTTCTTCGAGCATCATGGGGGGGGCTGCCGCCCCCCCCAACCCCCCGCTACTAGTACATTTGGCAACAAGCTTTAACTGCGGGAACATCCTTTAACATTTCCGGCGAACATCTTTGAATCATCACTCCTTTGATTTGCATTGCGCGCCTATTTGAATCATCACTTCTTCGAGCATCATGGCCCCCGCTACTTAGGACATTTGGCAACAAGCTCTTCTTCGAGCATCATGGGGGGGGCTGCCGCCCCCCCCCAACCCCCCCGCTACTTAGTACATTTTGCAACAAGCTTTAACTGCGCCTCTACTCGAATCATCACTTCGAACATCCGCCCGCCCTCTTTGAATCATCACACCTTCACCCTTGAAACATCATAGGGGGGCTGCCCGCCACTTTTGAAGATTTTTTGTAGCAAGATTTAGTTGCACCCCTGCTCACATGTGGCACCAAGATTTAGCTGCACAGCTGCTCAAGGTGGGGGGGGGGTGGTGGTACCCCCCCCCCAAAGTTGCGCGGGGGGGGCACCCTTGCTGTGCAGGGGGGGGTGGTGGTGGTCCCTGAGGGTGGGGGGGCTTGCTGTGCGGGGGGGGGGGGTGGTGGTGGACCCCCCCCCCCTTCTTTAAGGGTGGGGGGGTGCTGCGGGGGGGGGGGTGGTGGTGGACCCCCCCCTCGCGGGACAGACCTGAAAAAGTCCAGCGCCACATCTGCGGGCACTATCACCTTTGTCTGAGTTTATGAGTCTATGTGAACTCCCAAAAGGCCATGAGATACAAGAATTTATATTGGAACATATGAAACACAGGAACCAACCTTTACGCAAATATACCACTAGGAGTTCAATCTTCCACACGATTTCTGGCATCAGGCCACGCGGAGGCTGATTGTCTGAGCCTGTCAAGCCTCTTGAGTTTCGTTTTGGGAGAAAACAGGGGGATTAACTTGAAGAAACCGTCCCTTTGTTTGCGTGGGTAAAGAGGCCAAGCCTGCTTTGACAGAAATCAAACTGACACTGCGCGCTTCACACTGGCCTCAGCGACGAACAACACAAAGGGACAACCACCAATCAAATGGACCTACAACCAGTGGTATCGTTGGGGTCTCTCCAAATCGGCAGCATTTCTGGGTGAATTCCCTTGCCAAAGGTTGACCTCGAAACACGGTCGATTTCCTTCGGCCCAAACGACCGATTTCAGTCAAAACAATTCAAGGAGCCACCAGAAATCCTATGAATGAGCTGGAATTCGGACGACTGCTGGTCAACCAACATGGATGCGGCCATTAAAAAAAAAAAAAAAACGCCCGATTGCCTCCGCCTCGGCCGCTCCTCGCGCCGCTCCTCGCGCCGCTCCTTGCGATCCTCCCGCCGCTCGTCCCGCCGTTCCTCGCGGTGCGAACCGAAGCGTCCAGGGCGCCCTGGCCATGCCCCGCTTCCTGGGTGGAGTGGCCCAAACAAGTCTACGGTTTAATTCCCGCTACCTTGGCCTTCCCAACAAGTCACTTCGCAAAGTCCGCCATTTGGGAAGTACGCTTGAACATACTGTGGATGGACAGAATCCTGCACCACTTCGAAGCTATGGGAAGCCATAATGTTGGTTGGTATTACATGGGAATCGAATCATTCCAGGGTGGCTTAGGTGGTGCAGGAATTCGTCCATCCACTGTACGAGGACTGGAACAATGCACCAAGACCAACCTAGTACGCAAAATCCGATGACACACACGCTCCCTTCCTCTATGGAGGCTTACTTAGGGGGTCTTGGAAAACAGTTTTCCAGTCCAGCCTCTGGTGGGTTCCATGTTACACGGCATGGCAACCTACCACCCAATAACATACTGGAAGGGCCTACATACTGAATGATGTGGGCGGCTTTAAAACTACATCCAGCATGATAGGAGTATACTATGAGTCACTGCCCAACTATCACTATCCCGTCACCGAATTTGACTTACAAATACCCCACTCCATTCCAACTAGTTGGCTCCTCAGAACCACAGATGCCCAGCGGCCATGGGAAAAAAGGGCATCCTTTTTTGGTTGGTTGAGTTTAAAGGGGAACCCTTCCCCCCAAAAAAAAGGAAATAGGGGCGCCACTGGGCAACTGAACCCAAACCAGACTCACAGCGACACACGTCTTCGGCTCCTCGCGCCGCTCCTGGCGCTCCTCGCGCCGCTCCTGCCGCTCCCGGCGCTCGGGCTCTTCCTGAAGCCGAAGCCCTCCATTTGCTTCAGTCCCCTGGAAATAAGAAAAACAAATCCAGTCATAGATTCCCTTACAAACAGGGGAAAATAAATATCCTTAACCAAATGGAAGCCAAGAAAACAAACAAAATCGGGCAACCTCGGCTGGTCTTTTCCGCTTCACACTGGAATCCTTCGATACCAAGCATATTTTCTTTCTATGCACAGGTGTGGCTTGTGGCCCTTCAAACAAAGGTTCAGCCACTGTATATCACTCTCTCGTGTTGCAGTCTATCTGCGCTTGAACATGTGGCGTTGCATCGGTTTGTTGGGAGGAGCCACAGGTTGAAATCATGCGCCTCCGGGCCTGAAGAAGGTGTCAGCATGATGTGAGCCTCACAAGCCTTGTGAAGTTGCTCTTGGTGTGCGAAATCTGGTTCCAATGATGAAGCCCGTGCGAACTTCAAAAGCAACAAAAGCAAACATGGGGCTACTTAGGGCTAGCGTTGGGAATGGGTTAGCCAGTGCAATCGAAATGGGTCAACCTGCTAGGAAGCGCCCATCACGCTTTCCCGTTCGTTCCCTTCACAGGTCATCCAAAAGGGGGTACCCAAGGAAAGGACACCCCACTTATGGTGAAAGGAGCCCCGTCAAGTTGGCCAATCCTCCAGCTTTCTGACGCATGACTGACCAAACCTGGACGTGTTTAATGCGGCACGTCCCCACGTCAAATGTTTGAAGAAACCTTCATGGGCTTGTTCGCAAACCAAAGCTCTCAAACATAATTTGCTTGTAGTGAAACAAAGAACACGGGTAAAGGTGCCAACAAATATATCTACTGACCAGCGACATACTTGGCCTCTGAAGGGGAAGCCACCAGATGTTGACACCGACTTCAGATTCATAAAGCCCTGTGGATTTGCTTGTCCTTGTAGCATTTAGTAGAGGACTTCGTCCATTTGACATTTGGGCATTCCTGAGAAACGTGTCAGTCATCCTCCAAAAATACACGGCTGAGGCGGTTGTCTTCTCGCACCGCTCCCCTGGGTCTGCACTGGCCTGACAATTGATCTGCGGTTAGAATATATAGTTTGCTCAACACATTGATTCGCCTGAGGTCAGGTTCCTCCAAACGCCTCGACTCAACCCACTGAAAAAATCCCAGTCGCCCGCGCGCGGCGGCTGCGTGACCTGCCGTTTCGTCGGAATCACCGGGCTCCCGGCTCACATGTGTGCATTGTCGATTCCCCAAATGGTGTCTACCAACAAACGACTACCCCCAGGGCAAAACTTTCAGCATAGCCTGGAACCCCTTTGAAAGGAATCCTCACACAAGGGTGGAGGCAAGAGGTATACTCAAATGGCATGTTGGAGGGTTTTTGGATACCAAGATACTTCTATTTACATAGAGGTTTATGTAGGCCAGACTACAATTCTCCAATGCAGTACAACCCCGGCCCATATTCAAATGGCGGTGGGCTGTGCTCGTCTTTCGAGACAGGTCTTCCGGAAAAGTCACACACAGTGAAGCTCGGAATGCCGAAGGATCATCAAACCTCGGTTTCCGACTGCCCAGTATGAATCTGAGGTTTGCCCACTACAAATTCTACCTCAGCTTTTGCACAAGCAAACAACATTTCTCTTAGAGGCTGTTGCATATTTATTGAACTTGAAGATGCAAAGTCGCATTTTGCTGTCAAGTCGACATGAACCAGATGGCAAGAAGCAAAAACACAACTCCATGACGCACAACTCAGAGCACACAAACCTTACGAATTGATTGGTGCGGGTGCAAAAAAACAATCCTAGAACTTCTCCTTTTGGACTTGAAGGATGAGCAAATCCTGTTCGACTTCAGATATGCAACAATATGCTAGGGGTACCTTCCCCATTCTTTCCAGGCAGCCTTCTTTCTACAAATTCACCCAAAATTTGGGGAAACTGCTGGTTTCTGAAAGGAACGATGGTTGAAAAGAATGAAAATGGAATCAACCAGTAGAAATATAGCAGATCCTGGCAGTGCCACTTCGCAAATCCGCGCATCGGATCCGAATATTCGACTGCGCCTCCGTCGCCTGGAGCGGTCCCGCTCCGGCTCCCGCCTGAAGACGCTCGCGAGATGCGACGTGCGGAGCTTGGGCGTGTGCCCTTTGAGCAAGCCAACATTTGCCTCTTGGAAGGGAGCCAAGCGCACTGGATGGGGAGGGGGAAACCACAACACACACAACCATAGTGTCCTTTTGGTAGAATAGATGGCCCTGGTAAATGGGGAGTAAAACCAATCTAAACAATAGTGTCATCCATTTCTAACCAAACTAAATTAAAATGGATACCTATGCACATAAAACAAGAGTCTTTGCCAGTTGGCTCCCTTTTGGGCAGAAAGTAGAGGGGTTCCACCGACAAATGCGGCCGGATGACAAATCCTGACTGGCTTGATCCCTTGGGAGACTCCCAACCGCAGGTTTCAAGCCAATCCGACAAATCCAAGCCACCTGAGTGAGCATCACTTGGACGAGAAAGCACCAATACGTCCGCTTCTTTCCCTGAATTTCAAGCAAAACTTGGAGTCCCAACCAAAAGCTGTGCAATGGCACAGCCAAGTTTTTAGCCTCAGTTATTTTTGAAACGAAAACAGGTCAATCTACCATCACAAAGTTCCCTGGCGCAGGAAACAGTGACAAATGCAACTAGAATGCGTCAGCCCCTGTGCTACAGATATCCACCACACTGCACTTGGCCAAAGCGGTCCGGAGACAAAAAGGTAAACACGGAAACACCAAAAGGTCAACAGCGGCTCTGGGCAAGTCAAATGTATGATGTACGTACTTTCTATATAGTCAATACTTTCTATATAGTCAAATGCGCAGCATATGTTCAACGGGTTCTCTAGAAGGTACGTGGTTCAGCCATGTCATGTGGTTGCGACGAAATGCGGAAGTTTCTGGCAAACTCTTACCGTTCTTATCAATGGCACGTCAGCAACTGAATTGGCTGCTGACACTCAAAACACCGATCACAAACAAAGAAAAGACACATGAGCCACGGTCAACACTCCGTTTCTGTGGCCTATCGTCATGGTTCCTGGTAAGGAAATCACTACAATGATTATTAATTATTAAGGATTCCCACTACCAGGTTGATTACCATCCCTGTCAACCCGTAGTAAAGGAATCGGTCTTTGACCATGGTACAAATGCTAGGCGCACTTTTCAGTGGAAATCTAGAGACGCAGCTCGCTGGCAAAGGCAGCGAATGCGCGAGGCAACTCACGTTTGATTGACATGAACCCCAACAAAGATGGCAAAGAAAACTGGCTTGGGAAGCTGGACTATGTTGTGGAGTCAACCCTGCACTACCAACTGATCCGCGGTAAAGAAACACTGCAGGGAAACATGACAGCGGGATATCAAAAGAGAAATGAACAGAAGCTACAAGATTGCACGTGGCGTGTCGATTTAGGTGACGAGTCGTGCACACTCTCTGGAAAGGGGAGAGTGCTCGTAGGCCAAGCTCACGCACTTTAGGGCGCTTGTCCAGGCATTGCGCGGTCAAAGGTTGACTTGCTTGTTTCTTGGCTGGCCGAGTGGACAGCGGTTCATGTTTAGACTTATGGGGTTGAGCGGGCCAACAATAAAAGTTCCCGACGGCGACATGCACTTAAGCAATGCAACTGCCCGGTTCCAAGCTGCAACTCGCTCCCGAAGTGGCCTCCTGCGATCGCGATCTGCGCGATCTGGCTGCCTGCAAAAGAGCCCCGCCGGTTCAGGGACTGATTTATGTTGGTTTCTTGTCCTGCGAAAGGGTCACAGTGTACCCTGCATTTCCCATTCAGCGGTTCTTCAACTTCAACCCAAAGGAAACTCAAAACCTTGGACCAGCATGATGTGTCAAAGTCCACTCAAGTGGATCTGAAAAGCGGTGCCTGGCCCTATGGGCTCGCAGGGTCTAGATGCCTTGCATTGCCTTGCATTGACCCATTGGCGTGACTCACTGTTTGGCTGTGCAATTTGTCCCCTGCAACTTGTTTATTCACGTTTGCCTAGTCAAAGGTAGTGTAGGGTTTTCATGGGTAGCAACGTCATCACAGCATGGTGGTAATGCTTCAGACTTGCGTCCCATCCAAAGTTTTAAGGGGTAACAAGCACGCGTTTAGCAGTCAGAATGCACAATGCTGTCCACAAATAGTGTCCTGTCCATCATGGTGCAGCTGATTGATTCACTCAGAAATGAATCAAGGAACAACTGATTCCAAAAGTAGGCACATGAACTGGCTTTGGGATATGGGTTTTACCCATGTATCATCCGGGTTTCGGAGCATCCCGATGAAGCATCCAAATGCGACGCGAATTGGCGCCTCCGCTCGTCTCGCCGGCCTGGCGCAAGTGAGGGCACGAGTATCCATGCAGTTGTTCATGGGTTGTGAATGGTCTGCAGCTTGTGGGCGTGTCCGCTTTTCTGGTTTTAAAGGGACACCCAACGGAAAATCGGGGTAGGTAGTCACTTATTCACACCCAACTAGTAGGGATACTGCAATTCCCCGGGCGCTCTTCCCGTGGTTCATTCGATTACAAGTGGGTGTGAAAAAGACAGGCACTGCATTTCTCCATGGTTCACAACATGAATCTTTCCCACATAACCCCCCCCCCACCCCCCACCCCGTGGTTGCTTGTCAAGTCCAGTCCTCACCCCTCTGGTTGGACCAGCCTGTAAAGGGGTACCCCACCAATTAACCTGGAACCTGACCAGGGCAAAACACGTTCATTTATAAGGGACCCCCGAACGTCAGATCCTGGCTGTTACTTGTTGGGAGGATGGCTCTGACAGATCCTCCGGCCTTCATGTCGGCGCCGCCTGGGCACTGGACGCCCAGCTTCGGATCACGAGAAAAAGACTTTTGAATGTACCTTGACCCGGGAATCAAACATGCGAAGCTTGCAAGCAGTTGGGTCACTCGCATCATTGGTGTGCTGCATGTTCATCCTTTTGGCCACCCAACCTGTTGCAGTGAGGGGCAGGAACTGGAATCTCAAGTTCCATTTGAACCTTCCGCGCAAGGAGACTTACTCAGCTATGCATGAAATGCAGGGGTCACACAACCTCTGCAATTCCTCTTGAAGGCTTTCTCAAAGAACTTTGATACTTACTGCGTGCGGCACACACACACACACAACACCGGGACTTTAAGCCGACACTGTGCTTTTCACTGGGCAACGGACAACATGACGACATCTGACCCCAAATTCATGAGTAGAGCTTGAATGACAACCCCCAAAAGCGGCTGAGAGAACCACTTCCCACATTTCCACCCCAAATATTTGCGAAACCCTGAGCCTGCGCGTGTGAACTTCCCTGCACTTTTCTGGGGTTCAGAGCGGAATTCCATGCAGAGACTTGGAACCTTGCGGCCGAGGTCCTATGTCTTCCCAATGTTTTCTGAACAGAGATGGTTTACAAATGACAACAAATGCCAACGAATTCCTTTCCGGAAGCCTTCAGAAAGCTACCTTTCGGTAGCTTTCTGAGTCCCTTTCTGAGAAAAAAAACAAAACCAAAAAAAAAAGTGGTTGGGATTTGCCGGCTTTTTGGTGCCAGTGACACGACGCCACTTTTGGAGGTCGGACACTAAGTAACTTAGGAACTCCTGGCTGTGCAACCAGTCTCCTTCCTTCTTCCTCTTTGCACATCACCGCGCCAAGAGGCAACTCACCTACCCTCCCAACAAACATGAAAGAGCACAGGCCACAGCCCTCCAAGACTATGCATGTCTTTGAAAAGCGGGTGCGCTTCCATGCTCGTGGGAGAGGAAATGAGCCAAAAGGTGACGTTTATTTGAAACCACCACCGCACCAGCAGGCAATTCACCATAGTTGCACAACCACTAGAAACTCACTGATTGGAATTGAAATAAACTCTGATAGTTATTTTGAACCACTCAAAGAATGAGACCTAAGGACGCCTGTGCCAACTGACTGCACGCCAAGACGCTGGTCCCTTCTATCACGGCCAGCAGGGGCCCCCTCAGGCGCATACCGGCTAATTCACGCGGTGACATCTCTTGAACCTATTGGGGGGCCCTCCTCCTGGACCTCAGATGTTCCGTTTGGATCCTTTCACCAAAACCTTTCCAGAGTTTGAACAGAGCTTGGTCACTCCAATTACAAGAGCCCTTTGGCCATGTACCAACAAAGGGTCAAACAAAAATAATAACTAAGGTTCTCGAAAGGGGCGGAACCACCCTCCAACTGCCTTTGACAGCCGTTCAGAGCATTGTGTGCCTCTAATGGCAGGGAGTGATCGGGCCGTACATCGAGCCCTGCCATGAAACAGAGCTAGCTCAAGAGAACAGTTCTTGAACAGGCCTGATTTGGGCCTTGCAAAGGTCACTCCAGCTTGCCGCTAGAGTACTCTCTTTCAGTGGATGGTTGGAAGGGCTTGGCCAATCCTGTCCAACTTCATTGAGAACAGAGAGTGTAGGCTGTTTCACCTAAGGCAAGTAAGGTGTCGACACACTTGAAAGCATGGCAAAATAGTTCTTAGAAACCGAGTTGCTGACTTGGAACAGCGGAAGCAACGGAAAGCAACCCAGTTGCCAAGCCCTCGGACACGGGTGCTGTGAACAGGATGGCCGTTTGCATTGCTACATGTACCGTGGTCAAACCACCCTTTTGAGTGAGGTTGGCAGAGATGGTCAGGGGAAGCTTCCCCATTCTTTCTAGGAATCCTTCTTTTCAGGAAACCATCAAACACGCAGGGGAAACAGCTGGTTCTTGAAAAGAATGATGCTTCAAAAGAATGGGGAATGAACCGGTAGAACAACAGTGGTTAGGAGAGGATGCGGGCGGACGAACCAGCTGTGAGAGAGTCTATTCCTTATCCCTGCTGTTCCCCACTTCCTGCCGGATTGTTGTGGTGGATGTTCAACGGAAGCCCAGAAGCAACCAACCAAAGCCAGGTTGGAAGACCAGTCTATTCCCTATGCCATTAGGGTATGTGCTTTTTTGACGTGGCCGTGCCGGGAGGTTGGTATAAGGGGTATGAATCGCGGGTATGGTTCGGGGTATGGCTCGGGGGTATGATTCGGGGTATGGCTCGCGCGCCTCTGAACTCTTGCTTTGTGGCTTTGGACACTGCAAAGCTCACACAACTGGATAGCCGTGAGACTTTGGACCGCTTAGTTGCTACAAGCCAGCCTGGGGCGCTTGTGAGTGACCTGAACTAGACAGCTGCCACTCTGCGTGAGTGGGTTAGCGAAAGCTGCTGGGCTACATAGAAAGGCACTGCCTGAGGCGAACGTCATTGCCACCTCCACTTGGAGTTCAAGCGACCCGCGTGCTCACAGACCCAAGCAAGCGTTGCTTAAGGGGAAGCGCCGCGGCCCAGTCAGGCCCGCCACCCGCACCAGTCACGAACCAGCGTAAGGGCAAGACAGCGTGACATCCTCAAATGGCAGCCGCGCAGAGGCTAGTGGGCCTCTCACAGGTGGTACACCGTGTCGCGCTTGATGCATCGCAGTAAGCCTCAAACCCACCTTCTGGCGAACTTCTGCGAAAAGCGAGCTGGTTCCTGCAGTGCTTGATTTTGAGTTTTGTGTCTTCTGAGGATTTGGGCGGCATAGCTTCGCTAGTACTGCCCAGAGCGCAAGAGGCTCTTGGCTGCAAATGGCAGCAGAAGGGTATGAATCGGGGTATGAATCGGGGTATGAATCGGGGGTATGAATCGGGGGACGTATTTTTTCGACCGGAAAGACACCAAGAGTACCCCAGGAGCACAAAGACAGCTTGTTTTTCACTGCGACAGTGGCCCAGGACAGACAGCTGTTTCCACCGCGTCGGACAGGCTGCAGGAAGCAACGGCACCCCCCGCCACAGCGCCCTGCAAGTCCCAGAGTCTTACGTCAAGCTGCACCCCCCCGCCACAGCACCACGGATGCTACAGACAACTCTAGTACCAGGACATCCGCAGGATTGCTCTATAACTCCATCCATTGGCACTTTCCATTGAAAATCGCAAGCCGAGACCGAGGTGGGTGTGAAGGAACACCGCTTGAGCCAAAATGGCCCCGAGTGTGTGAGTGGACATGTCAACTGTACTTGGCCCCATGACATCAGAGCCCAAGCATGCAAGCATCGCAGACTCAAGAATAGATCCAGGAAGCACAAGTGAACCAGGCACGACTTTGCAGTCCCTACCCCCTGGCATCGGTCCACATGTCAAGCTCTCTAACACTGTTTCTTGACAAGACCCCCTTTTTCATTTGAAGTTAATGCCACAGTTCTTGCAAGTTCTTTTTTGCGTTTTTTTAAGGGGTATGACTCGGGGTATGGCTCGGGGGTATGGTTCGGGGTATGATTCGGGGGTATGGCTCGCCCAAGCCCCACCTCCCACGAAGACTAAAGAACTGACACGGTAAAAAGACACAGACCCATTAGACTTTAGGAACATGATAATCGTCTCTAGCAAGCAGTTCAAAGGCGGCTTCATGCAAAAAAACAGGTAAGCCACGATTGTTAAGCAGGTCCCTCAAGTGGAATCTGGGCGAGCAAACTTTCTCACTCTAAAGGTGTTTTGGTGACTGTCCCCCATGTCTGGGCCTTTGCTACAGTGGATGACGGTTTATGATGGTCAGATTGAAGGTTGACATGAAACCATCCCTTTTGGACGCTCTCCGCATTACAAGGCAAATACGTCAGCTGATTTGCTTGAAGATTTCCCCAGGCCTAGCTTCTCAAGAAGCTACAGCAGAACCTGGCAGTTGCACCCCGTATGTAGAGGGATGTCTACCCCACATGCAACTCAGACCAACCCAGATCGCGTCGAAAAGTCTGGACCAGAAGAAACCAAGCGCTTGTAAGGGTCTCCGTTTTGGAGACACCCACGTTCAACCCAAGGTCCAGGTGCGATTTTGGCGACCAGACTCTGAGGCGCCGTGCCCGGTCACGGGCGTCACGGGCGCCACGGGCGTCACGGGCCTCGCGCCTGCCAGATGAGCCGTGTTGCAACAAGTCACGTGCACCTTGCCGAGTCTTGTACTGCGAAGACACCACTGGCAATCCTTCTACTAGGTCCTGCAGTAGAGAGGTTATGTAGAATAAGGGTACCCCTTTTTGTGTAGTCTATTTTAATAGGGGAACCCTCCCCCAAAAAAAGTTCGTAAAAGGGCACTACTGGGGGACCTAGTCTATGTTCAAACCATGGTCGCCTCGATGCTCCATTTCTGGGAAGGCCACGTGCAAAAAAAAGGGCTCTACCAAAGTGGTCCTACGGCTTTGTGTAGCCCTCATAGAAATTGGCCAAAGGGTTGTTTCCAAAATGAAGGGGTGGCCAATTCAGCTCTCCATTGTTGCGCGTCCAGTACCGCACAGGACAAATTCATTCCATAGACCAAGGGAAGGCATGCACTAAGGAGCCTTGTTTGCGCGAGGAAACGACGGGATCCTTGTCTAGTCTTGCGATTCCACTATGAGGTCGAACTTGGGATTTCCACTGCGGCTCTGCGGCGCCGTCTTTTCCTGACCATAGCTTTAGCTCCATTACAGTCGGGAAAGGGGTCCTAAGATGACCTGCAGACTATGTACATATTGGCGTCAACCTTGGAAGCCTTTTTTCGGAATGTAGTGCACTCTGGAACGGTCGGAATATACGCGGTCCATGCTCGACCCCGAGAAATTAGCCCCAGACTGCGACCCGACTAATCATTCGTCTTGTTTGACTGGATTGAATTTGTCAAATCCCCACTTCGACATTGTTTAAGAGGTAGGTCTGAAGGGACACTGTCTCTGTCGTTGACTTGCCTTGAAAACAGCGAACACAAAGGGCCCAGTCTATGAACGTTGTTTGCAGAAAGAGGCAATTGAAGCCTCACAGTGGTTGTCACGGGGTGTCCGTGTGAACATTTCGGCGTTTGCTCTGCGCCGAAAACTGACTTGCTTGCATTTACGGCCATTTTTACCGTGAAGCTTGACACCTTTGCCAATGTTTGAGCGCTCCAAAACCGGATCCAAACAGACCACTCCATGACCACTCCGCTTCAAAACCTGTACTGAGAACCTTTCAACAACGGTGCCTGCATGAATCCCGGAAGCGATCCTTGACCAAACCCCGTTCGCTGTTCACTCTGCTGGTCCTGGCGACTCAAACTGAAACCACTACCCGCGGAGTTGGGGGAATTTATCCAACTCATAGCCAGTATGCAAAGGTCAGGAATCATATACCTTGGGTTCGCATCCTTTCTCCTTTTCCCGCTGTAATTCCAAGGGCAAAGATGTTGCCTTACACAACCCCCATGAGCAACCAACGGACTTGCCTTGCCTTTCGTGTTTTTCTTCGCCGCACGTTTCATTTTCGACAACCCCAAGCCAGCAGAAGAGAACCAGCTAGGTCCTTCAGTAGAGAGGTTACAATAAGGGTACCCTTTTTGCTGTAGTCTACTTTAGTAGGGGAACCCTCCCCCACAAAAGGGCAGAAGGGCACCACTGGGGGACCCAGCCAGGGTTCCAGCTTGCCAACTGGCCACGCAACGAGGCAACCACCGGCCTCTCCCGGCGAGGGGACTCCCGGCGCCGGCCTGACGCAAGGAGGCCTTGGTTTGTCTGAACTGCTAGTTATATAGGGTCATTTGATCGCCTCACTTCCTGAGTGGATTGGCCAAAACAAGTCCAAACTTGTTTGCCACTAAAGTCACTAAGATGGTTTGTCCAATTGTAGACTCCAGCAACTCAGGAAGTGAGAACTGAAATTCCGGCCTTCTGGCATTCTGGGAAAGTTGGGTCTGAAATAGCCCCACGGCTGCTGGACTGGGATCCCTGTGCCTGGAGCCTCGCCGAGCGTTGCCTCGCGGCCTCGGTCCCTAGACATGGTCTCGACTTGTGAAGTGGCCACGTCACATGGCAAGTCGGCAAGTCCAAGGGACCACACTCAGGAAAGCGCCATGGTGCTGCCGTGCTGCCCAGAACAGCTGAGTTTCTGGGGCGTCTCGTTCTCATGTTGGCAAAGAAAACCGGGGGTATAGTCCAAACCGGCCATGGCTTGGGTTCGTCCCCCTTGGAAGCAAAGAAGCCCGATGTGCTCAACTCCCGCCTCGGTCCTCCCGGTCCGCATGCATCCCCCGGACCCGCCTGGCCGGGTTCCAGGAAAAAAGAAAAGCACTGCGTAGGCTTCTGTTGGGAACCCCGAAATGTTGCTGGAGGTTTGCCTTTGGCTGCTTCGCCTAGAATGCCAAACGCACTGCAAGTTGTCCACAAAGCAAGATGCGACCGGACAAAGGGTGCTTATAAAGAAACATGGCAACCAAGCGTAGGAGCTACCAACACCCCGAATACTTCCTTCAATTTCTTTTTCAATCCAGGTTAGCGAATGGCACTCTTTCGGGTGCGTCATGAAATGAAGGGTCTGAACAGATTGAACAAGTATCTGGGCGAATGGTTTTGTCAACTCACCAATCCAAGACGAGGGGTCCTTGCAAAGGAATCGTCATGGGCGAGCTCGCACACGCCCTGTGCAAGGTCGCTAGGATGATCAATCCCTTCGGTGGCTACAAAAGTCGTGGACGAGGGGACTCTGATCAATCATCTTCAAATGGTGTAAACCCAGAGGTGACAGTTAGTGGTTCTGGGGACAACCGAATCTATCCTCTTGTGGCCTGTTGGGCAAGCTCCCACAATCCAGTGATTGAATAAGAAAGGCCTGTGGATAGCTGCTTGAAAGGCGCTTGCATAGATTTGGTACTTGCAAGTTTCGTCGCCATATTTTGGACACGCGCGGCACATGAATTTTAGATGCTTAGCTGGGAGGCACCTCTTTTTCCAAAGAGGTACTCAAAAGTACTCAAAAGGAGACGCCTCATCCCGCCGGGGATTCGCGCGAAAGAAGGTATTGACCCCAAGTCGAACTATCCTTTGTGAAGTATCATTCGCCAACCTGAAATAAGCACAAGACAAGAGCCTTCATGGAGAGAAATCAGTCGCAAGCTTGTAATCCCTTTGTGAGAACTATGGCTTTAATTTGCCCGTGCGAAGGGAACATCAACAATTCCCGGAGACATACTGTGGATGGACGAAATCCTACACCACTTTGAAACCATGGTTGAAACCATAACGTGTGTTGGTATTTACAGGGAAATCGAATCATTCCTTTGGGTTTCTTAGGTGATGCCCAAGAGGAGTTTGCAACCATCCACCGTATTTATCAAACAAACCCTGCTGCCCGCCGGCCGGCCTGTGGTCCTCTGCCTGGAACGGCCAACAAATTCACTCAGCCACATCTGTTGGGCGGGGCCATGAAAGTGACGAGGGTTCTCAAAAGGAAAGCTACCTGTCATATATCCTTGTTATGAGCCCCCCAAAGGGAAAAAATGCACCTCTGTTCACCAGGAAAGCCACCTGCCAAGAGGATGGGGTTTGAGATTTTCCAACACGCTCACACGTTGTAAATGTGCACGCTTTACCTTTGCTCCGAACGGAGTTCATTGTCAGGTTCTTAGTTACCAAACCCAAATATGGACCTTCAAGGGGCAAACACTTGCAAACCAGACAGTAGAACTGTCTCGGGGTTTTGAGAGCTGCTCATTCAGGCAACAAACCAAATTGCTCGCTTCCCCAACAGGACATGGGCAAATCCGGGCCAAGCCCCCTTTGTGTTTCGTTTGAGGCAAATTCGTATGCTCGCTAACATGCCACCTGAGGTTCCTTTTTGCTCTCTCACGTTTCTTGAGACATTTGTCAACAATCTGCTTCCCTTTCCACCAAGCTTCCGCGGCGTGAACCATTGCTTCCGCGGGCATGTTTCTGTTGCAACTTAATTATGTGTTTTTTGCGTATTGGCCTCATCCATAACGGTTGACCACCATGCGATGCGCGAATTCACGTGTACAACTTGATTATGCTGTTTAAAAACAAACACCTTGAGCGGAGCTGCGAGGCAAACCCTTCCGCAAACCTTGCGGGCATGCATGCAGTCCCACATCTTGCAACCATGTCCACCCGCTTGGCAAAAAACGACCGGGTCAACAAACAAACCTAAACAGAGGTATTCTGACCGTAGTACATATCCAGTCTGGCAAATGCGTTGTTGCTCTTTAGGTTTTCTGAAAAAACATAAAACAAATATCATCTTGTATTTTCTCCTCTTGGCTTCCCTTTAATTCACCCCCAAACAGGCACCACAAAACGACACACAGAACAACTTCTCTGCGCCTCGCGGTCCTTGCCTGGCAAAGGAGCGAACACCGAAACGGTCGCCTAGTGGCACCCAAACATGTCTGAGGGTGTTGGGAGGGGAAGGCTGGCTCTCACAGGATGTGCTTTAAAGTGGTCAATGACTTTGGGTTAGCCTGTTGGTTGATTGCCTTTTCATGGGTCATGTTGACATGCTGTTCTTAAGGTCCAAGAAGGAACATGACCCGTGGTCCAGAATGAGGAGGCTTTACTAGCTGCAAATGGCTCATCTGATTTCACCGTGCAATGAGAATCCTAAAACAATGGGATCAGCATTTCAGACTTCCCCATGGCAGCTATTACGAAAGCCACGGGAATCCCAATTCTCAACACGGACAGAGCTGGAATAGCTCAATCATTGTCCTCTTTTGTGTCATCCCCGGTGCGCTCTCGCTTCTCATCTTCGGATCTCATGGAACCAATCCATGAGCCTTGCTGTGTCACGGACGAGTCACTGGGCCAACTCATCACTGAGTCTGATGCCCAAGGAAGGAAGTCCTGATCCTGCGAAGAATGTCTGCTTGGTTTTGAATGTATCTAAACTTGCCCCCATGCCCGCTTTCCTGAGAAAGTTGTTTGGTGCACTTAGTCGAAACCACAACAAGAAGGTACTTGCAGACACAAGCATGTGGTGCTGTGCTTATTGCTTCATGCATAGCATCAGCAGGGTTGCTGCAGACCGGAAGCCACAGCAAACCAAATCAATATTTCACCTTTGGCGTTCAGTCATTAATGCAAGCATGCCCCGTGGTCTTCACATACCATCCGTGTGATCTATCACAAGCTGAAGTGGCCAGAGCAACCAACGCATGGTACCTCGTGGCGGCGCTTTTTCCTCATCTTCCTCCTCCATCTCTTCCTCCTGCGGTAGAAAGAACGTGTGAGGGTCATGCACATAAAAAGTATTTGGAGAAATCGATCGGTGGATTTGCCATGGTCACAAGTAAGAGTCTTCCATCATGTTCACAAACAAACATCGGCCTCTAATTGGGCCACGGCTAAATGGATGCTTCCGAAAATAGGGGCCGCGCCTGGTGATTCAAACTGGCTAACCCCAGGCACTAACCCCCGGCCATCCCCAGTCGGGAGAACGAATCAGGGGCCCAGGGAACCCAGTTGGGTTGGTCTACAGCAGACCCAAGTTCTCCACTAGGTGAGAAAGCAGCTCTTTCCCCCCAAAACCAAAGAATTGGCTGGGGAAACAGACAAACGCCTTTCATGTCACATGTTCAAAAAATGTCGAAGCCTCAAGCCCTGACTCATGGCACTTCCCGACGCCTCTTCGACTTCCTTTTCTTCGCTCGCCGCCTTTCCCTCGGGCGAGACAATTTTTCCAGCCAGCCATGGTGAATGTCCCCTGGTGGAAGATAGGGGATGGTAACCTTCCAGCTGCTTAAGTTCTTGGAGAAATAGACATCTTTCCAGGAGTGATCGATTCCCTCTAAACCACGAGACAAACAAATAACACATATTCTTAAATGGAAGAAACACTTTTGGGAACGGCAAAGGCTGCCGATCATGTCAATGAACCAGTACCTTGAAGTTCTATCCTGTGGACAATTATATTAGCCTGGGAATCCTTGCATTGAGCCACTGTGAATGCAAGAATCCGAATCCAAGTCTAGCCCTTCTGGAGTATATGAAGCCTTCTCACTTTGTTGGGGCGCGATACGCACTGATCTTCATTCATTCATCGCGTGAGGATCTCTAAAGCATGTCCACACCGGCGGAGGGGGACATGTCCAACTGTTCCTGCAATTCCTCGCAAGGACATGCTCAGATTTCGCTACAGCCCGAGGTGACGGGTCCCCACTCAGAAGTGTCTTGATCGGAGGCATGTCAACCTGGCTCAAAGAACGGCTTTTGTTTAACGGAAAATCGCGCCTCAACAAAGTGAGAAGGGTTCATATACTCCAGAAGGGCCAGACTTGGACCCAGACGTTTGCACCCACAGTAGCTCGAAACGCCCCTTTTCGGCTGTGTCTGACGTGTGTTGAGGTACTGGGGGTGGAGGCCTCAGTCTCTAGGGGACACCGAACATGATCGACCTATTTTGCAGCTTGACAATAAGGGGACGCCTGGAAGTGTAGAAACCCTGCTGTGGAGGGCCCAATTGGGCAAACGGGCTGTGCACACACCATAATGCAATCACAGAGATTCTAATTTAACTCCAATCGACTACAGGGTCGCTCCCCAAAATAATGCAAACGCAAGCAGGGAATTGGGCCATTCAGCGTTCGTTGGTTGCTTTTCGGAAGCCTTGGGGAAGCAACCTTGAACCGGACCAAACTCCGCAAAGGAGTCGACTGCCAACGCAAGCAATTCCAGCGATCTCTTCCATTTCAGTTGATCGGCCGCTTCTACTCGGGTTTCCATTTGGCTCGGGCTTCGGAGGCAAGTACTTCCGCTGCCCATCCATCCAGCCTCATCCTCTTCCTCTACCTCGTCGTCCTTGCGAGCTGCGACATCTTCTTAACACATGATCACTCTCCTCCGTGTCCTTTTCGGAAATTGCCAACTCTGGTAAATGAGCGAACAACTAGTGCCATCTATCGTAACACCTCTTTTAAAAGGGGATCGCGCAGTTTTGCTTTTTGGGTTGGCGCACACCCGGTTTACAAGTCAAGTTTACGGGGCTGTTTTGCTGCCTGCAAGTGCCTGAAGTCCAAACCCGTTACGGCGTCCAAGTTACCAAGACCCTCTCTCATCGCTATCTTCACGCGACTTAATTCCAAAACCTGACAGGTGAGCTCGTTGTAGGTGAGCTCTGAGAAACCCGCACCGACCTTAACTCTGCCACATGTACCACCACTTCTTCGAGGACCTGAATGCACCTGGAAAATGAACCTACATATTATATATATAAATATATATATATATATATATATATATTACAGCCAATCACGGGGTCCAAACCTAAAAAAAAAAAAAAACAACTCCCCTGTTGAGTGAGCTCGCCTTAATTTGCGCCGGACGCGAACATGCCAACATGAACGCACAAAGAAAGGAGCGCTTGGCCTCTACCTGCAAGCTAGGCTGACACATCCATTGCAAAGCTCTCCTTCTCTCATGGACTAGTATCAACTTCCCATTGCTTGCCAAACTCAAAAAAAACATCAAACATGTTCAACTTCCATTCGATGTCTTGTGTGAACACAACCACACTTTAGCAGAAGGCAAAAAGCTTGCATTGATTGGATGGATTGTAGAGTTGGGCCAAGCCCCGTTTGCAATTGTCACACCTTCTAAGTCAGGTGGCCAGTGGGTATTCAATAATTCTGCCCAACCCTCCGCTTGTCAGAGAATCCCACTAGAGTCCGCCCAAAGAGTCCAAGTCCCAGGCATTCACATCCTCGTCTTCCTCGTCCTCGTCCTGAGCGTCGGACCCAGGACGTCACCGGCGCATCCGATGACTAGGAAATAGAAACATATGTGTGCGACTTAGTCGGTAGAATACATAAACCATGTTTGCAGTATCATACTTCTCCTTGAAACACCCACATTGATCGCATGAGCAAGGTGCTTCACAGTGCCATCAACCCCAAACTTGGGGTTATGTTCGGGCAATACCAGTTGGCAAAGTGGGGTTCATACCAGTTGGGTCTTACTTTCGGGGTATTGGCCCCTCTTGCTTGACGGCTAGCCACCATGTAACCGCCCCATCTTGACTAGGTGTGCCATACTCGAAAGTCTTTTTCACGATGGGTAATGTCCTGACACAACACCAACAACTCCAAAGCGCAAACTGCCTCCCATCTGTCAAACTCTTCACTTTGCAGCCTGTGGCTCTCTGCACAAAATGAAGCACACAAGCCGTCGGCCTCCTTCTTGACGAAGCTCTTGGGAGCTTCTGTGAGCTGCACCTGGCCCAAGCAACATGCACAAAGGCATAATGTTAACCTCGGATTAAGCAGAACCCGTGGCTGATTCATGGCGATTAATAACCCCTGGTGGATTGTTGATTGGGGGGTGTCCCCTTTTAGTGGGGATTCAGAAACACCCCCCAAATAATGGGACGGGTTTAGTAATCCTGGGTCAACATTACCGCGCCTAGCATGCCCTTCAGCGGGGCTAGCGGCAAAAAGGAAAGTCTCCTGCCCGCCTTACGAAGCGAACCTACCAAGGAAAAGAACAGCACAGCCACATGGGAACGCATCAATCGGAGCGGCTCTCGTAGGGGATGGTGTTTAAGGCTCATGGCGCGCAGCAATAAGGTGACAGCAACTGGCCAATCCATCCGTTGCCCAGTCGGCCCCTTGGCCACAAAAGGGCTAGCCTGCCAACCCAAAATGCTGATATCGTCCTCCTGGATAGGCATGTGTCCACCAAGTTGGACGCTTTGGGGGTGGTTTTGGTTTGTTACCTAGGAAGATGGTTCACGTTCGGCCTGTGCCCAGGCATCGAGCAAGTGTATAAAGGGCGAGATCTGAAACATAGTCCAAGCATTTGACAACCAGCCATGCAGAACGTCACAACGAGCTAACGCATCGCAAGAATAACAACAGCCAAGGAATCACAAAGCTCTGCTTTCTCCACAAACTTGCCTACCACAATCAGCAGGACAAGCAAACGCGGGCTTGTCAACCTGAAACGGTACCTCACTTGCCCAAAGGACCTGACAACAAAAAAAAGGTTAACATTGTGGGACCTTTCCTAGAAGTGGACCAAACAGGAAAAGCCAAAAGGTCAAAAGGTCGATTTGCCGGCAAAGGATACGACTACCGAGTTTTTCGCCCGGTTGTAGCAGCGCGCCTTGGATTTCCGACGCTCAAGGACCTTATGTGAGATCTGGAGCTCTGCGTCCCTCTGGTGTGTTGTCAAGGCGTCCCTTTTTGAAGCGGTTGTCAAGGGAAAGTAAGATGACAGCAACCTTTTGGAGGTTGTCCAAGTACACAAGGCGTGACATAGCTCGCATTTGCTTGAGGCGCCCCCGAATCGCATATTTTCGCAAGGACAGCTAAGAAGGAACCTCAAGCAATGGAAACATGCTCAAGCGCCCTCTTCTTCACACCATCCCGCTGGAAGCTCGTTGCAAAAACTAGATGCTTTTCGATATGTCGTGCCGACCAATGGCAAGGAGGGAACGTCTGCTCGAAAAAACAAATAACTCACGAGAAAAACTTGATTGACCTTGACTTGAGTGTCCAGGTGTGGGGATTCACACGGGCGATACTAAGGTCACCGAAGACCTTACGAGGACCTAATGGATGCGGAAGCAAATAATGGAGATCTCTGGGAAGCAGGTGTGTGGCGGAAGGGATCTAGGCTAGCGCCAAGCGGCACAAAAGTAGTTTGAAGTTAACATTGTAACTACAATCGATCCATCACCTGCTCCCATCATTCGCTCGACACATCCACGTTTGGCCACTGCCACCGCGGTCATGCTTGACTGCATGCTCGCTACTCGCATCAATACACAAACACTCCTGGATAGTGTAGTTGGCAAACAGTGGCCTAACGTGTCGATCTCGGAGGGCGGACAGCTCTGCGTGCACGCTGACTGGCGCCCTCCTGTGGGTAAAGCTTGATGCCTGGCATTGGATAGATCGCTTCAAAGTCGTGCTGGACACGAGTATGCTGGGCGCTTCAAGGGTGTCCTCAGCAAGGCTTTGTTCACTCTTGACGCGAACGATGTGAAGCGGGTTAGATCCGGGTTGGCGCGCCTGGGCATCCCAGACACCTTCAGCGTTGGCGATACGTTTGGTCTTGCAAAGTACTCAGGCGGTGGCTACTTCCGCCAGGTGAAGCAGCCCATCACTGTCTCCCACCAGCGTGAGGCGTCGCTGTCCGAGCCGCGGATGCTCACATCTGTGCGGATGAGTGGTGTCAAGCCAATGCCGTGGTCGCCTGCAGGCAGCTGGGCTTCAATAGCATTGAGTTCACCACAGAAACACTCGGCTACTGGACCCCAAGCAACACCAGCTACGCGGCCAACCCCATGTGGCTAGACCACGTCCGCTGTATGGGCACAGAAGAGCGCATCGAGGACTGCGCCCACTTTGGCTTCGGCCAGAGCCGCTGCCACTACTTGGGCAGCATCGGTCTGGCTGCCGTCGACTGCTACACGCTGCCGCTGGCGAGGATGCGGCTCTCTGAAAGAAAGTTTAAAGAGAAAGACATGGGCAAGACATGCTCTAAAGTGCACTCTCCCGCATCGAACACCACAGGCGCATGGCACCCTGAAGCCTCAACACGTTGCACTGAAACCTCGCTCGCTGTATCCGACGAATCTGCAAAAACTAAAAGCGAGAGCAGAGGAGGCGGACGCCATGAGCGTGAAGCTTCACTTTCGGAAGCCGTCAGCACGCAAACGCCGCTGTCGAGATACTGGACTATGCCACGTGAAGTTCGCCTGTATGGTGTGACCCCACTGGTCGCAGCTTTCTGCCTGCCATCCTTAACAGAAAAACCCTCTGCGGGTCTTGGGTCATGCTTTCGGTATGACTGTTGCTTTCTTCTGCCCAGAGCTTTGTTGGACTTATGAGGAGCATTAAACTACAGGTAAATATTATTGAGCTCAACCGCACGCCAGATTTACAGCTCACACCAAGTCGGGACAACAAACGGTCTGAGTCTAGAGGGCACACGACACCGGCAAACGAAAACCAGGTTGAACTAATTTATCCCTATCAGACATGGAACACAGGATGAATTCCCATGCTGAATCGGAGTGCCAGATTTCGCTGAGGGAGTAACACCAGAAAACATTCTTCCGCCCACGTGATTTCGGGAATACCCGGAACGCCAACCTGGACTTGCATCGTCAGTGGGTGGGGCGCCGGCCCAGTGATTCCCCAATTGGAATCCACACAGGTTCCCCAAAATGGGCGTGCTACTTCATCTGAAGGGGATTTGAATTTGGATGCTCTGGGAATCAGTCAACGCAAGTTCGGCATTCAAAAACACCGCCCTTAAGAAGGTGCTGCCTGGCTTTGACATACACACACACACACATTTCCCACAGTCATCCCTATCCAACACCGCCCAAAAAGAAAGTTTTCTAAGGTCACCTTACCCATTCCGACTAGCTGTTCTAACTTATTCCCCTTACATTGATACGCAATTACCATGTTTTTGCCAAGAGGGCAAAAGGGCCTTCGCAAACATCTACAAGCCCACAACCCGTGCCCACACCGCCCAACAGGCTTTCATAGCCACGTGACCGAACTGGGAGATCCCCCCCGAACGAGCGTCTATGGTTGAACCTTGTCCAAACCGAAGAGAACGATCTCTGCAAACAGAACGATAGCACAAACAGAACGGGGAGTTCGGCAGGTGGAGCCCGATTACCCCATTCTGTTCCCAGATTCCACGTGTCCCCAACAGGGTGCTAACAAAAACAGCGGGAAAAACGGACCGCCGAGGGGACACCGAACTTCGAAAAAATGGGAAAGCACGGTGCTATTGAACAGAACGATGAGTGCGAGAAAAAAAAAGAAAAGAAAAACAACGATGCATGTGGGACAAACGATGCATGTGGAACAGAATGATGCAGCGTCTGATCCATCAGCTGAGGGAACAGGACGATGTTTTGCTGAGCGCGCGATTGCGAAAAGTCTGGGTACTGCATGATTAGAACTCTTTGTAGGCTTTGAAAAAGCAGGGACCCCTTAGGCGAGTCGTGGCCATTTGCCTTAACACAGGGTGTATCCGACCCCCCCCCCCAAACGACCCTCCCGACTTTGGGCACTGGCTCCGAGGTTGCTCAAGGTCCGGCTAGCCACCTGAGCCCATGGGGCAAACGGTGCGACGCTTTCTTCGGAAAATGGGCGCGTCTTTGCAAAGACCACCCAAATGGCTTCGGTGTTCCTTCTGCCCTCTAACACCGCAAAAAGGGGTACCCTCAAAAAGAAACACCCAGACATGAAAATGAGTTACTTGCAATATGGGGTTGCAGGGTTGTGAGCACTGCCAGGCATCCTGTGGTTCCATGTTGCGGGAAGCCTCCCAAAGGAGCGAGCTGAAGCAACCTCATCGTACATGAGCCAGACAACTGGTTCAAGGTCCTTTGGGAGGTAAACGAGTAATGGAATCGTGTGGAACGCCCACAACTCTCTATAAACTTCTGGCTCACTTCAGGGAAACTTACCAAGTCTTCGTGTCCTCGTCCTCATCGTGCGCATGCATTTTTTGCCTGTTCCCATGACATTTTGGCCCAAACCCGCCGTGGGGCATCCTCTTCGAAACATGGGAGATGATCGGGACATGGCACAGACCCACCCTCCCTCCCAAGAACACGCACCTTTTGCGGTGTTGGTGGATCCTGTGCATTGGTCAGGCTCCCTCCCCCACACACCTTCAGTCTTTCGAAGTGTGGGGGGAGGGGCCTCAAGAAACAACTTTGCCGCCCTTCTCCACCTCCTTGCTCTGGCGCGGCTTACCCGCTCTTACACTTCAAGCATGACACCTGGTGCTTGCTCCCCTGCATGAAGATGAAAGATGCATAGCCGTAATACCAGCCACATCTGGTCCTCCACGTGGCCGGAGGGGAACAAGCCACCATGCTGGCGTTGATGTGGATCACGGAGCCATGCACGTTCTTCACCAAGGATGGCAGCTCACCGTTGCCGGCTTCGACCTTCTCCTTCCATGTCCTTACCTCGGCGTCAAGCTTGTCTCGCATGGCGTCCGTGTCCAGCTTCAGGGCCTCTACCTCGAGGGCTAACTGATTCCTTACTGCGTCCCAACCCGGGCCTTCGCTACCATGTCGAACCGGGCCGCACTTATCATTGACCGGCATGGTTTCCAAGGCTTCTTCAGCGTAGCTGTAGATAACGTTTGATTTCCAGCGGCCCAGGTACGCGACTTGTGGGATCGCCCAACCCTGTCTGATGTAGGTCAGCGCTCCCGTGCGTCGCGCAGAATGGCCACCAACCCTCATGCCAAACACCTTGGCCCAAGAAGCAACTACCTGCGCCTTTGTTGCTACGTCGCCGCTGCCTACTTTGCAAAGGGCGTCATCAAGTTCCATGACCTCCTGGCCGGAGTGCACCAGTTTCTTGGCGTTCCTGTAAGGGCAGTCCCAGCCACAATCCCCCTGGCAAAGACACTGCAGGACCCGCCTAATTCCTCTGGCCTCTTGATCCTTCTTGCTCTCGTGCAGCACCAGCGTGACCCTCTTTGCCGTGTCATTGACCAGCAAGTCGCCCTTCTTGAGTGCGGCGATCTCCACTTCCCTCAACATCCAGGTCATTCCCAAAATGAAGATCTCGATCGGGTCCGTCAGGCGCCGCTGTGCTTGCCACCTCTTGGGGAGTTGTGCCCCTTGGATGGTGTCCCTTGGCACCTCGGGCGCCTGTCCTCTCTGGCCCACGCCTCTCGACACCGCCATAAGGCACTGCCTCATGACCCCAGCTAGCAAATCACTCCACGCCTTCCCCGCCTCGACATGCATGAGCTTGGCTTCTGCGAGGTAAATGTGGGCAGACTTGTAGCCGGCTGACTTCAGGCTTGCCGCTAAACACTTCACCTTGTTAGCATCCAGAGGTGCGACCGCGAAGCCCGCTGATTCTGCTATGCGCCGGACGGTGTTCCTCCTTGCTGCCTTTGCCTTTCTAGAAGAGTTGGCGCAGAAGTCCTTCTCCAGCTCTCTGATGGCCATCTTCCTTTTCCAAGGGTCTCTGATGGCCTTCAGTGCCGCTTCTCTGTCGGTCTTGAGGCCACTCTTCCTAACCGGGCAGTCCTTCCTAGCACTCCTTTGGTATTCAAAGGCGGGAACTCATGGTTCTTGTTGCCCGGCTCCTCCGATGACTTCTTCGGGCTCAGCTTGCCTGCAATCCAGCTGAGAGCTGGCCTCACCCAAACGCCTTTCGAGGGCCCCCCGCTGGCTGGCAGTCCCGTGAAGCCTGTCCTTTCCTCCATCATCTTCCTGACCGCCAGGAGGGGGTGTACGCCGAGGATCCCTTGACTGCCCCGGCGCCCTTCTTCCCTTGTGGGCTCAAACTCCAGTTATCCTTACTGCTCGCCCCCCCCCCCCAAACCTTCGCCACGAGGAGGTTGCTCAGGGGAAGGGATCAATGGGTGCAGGGGTCTAACTTCTCCATTTGATCTGCCCTGGGAGGCACCTTCGTCAACTCGAGCTCCGTCAGGAAATAAGGTGCCTTCGTCACCTCGTGCCTGTCGGGGAGGTGCCCGAAGTTCATGCTGTGCTCCTCCTCCTTTTACCTGATCCGTCTCGGCCTCCGAATTAGCCGTCCCAGGTTCGGGGAGAACTTCTCTTCCTCCTTCAGGATGGCTTTGGCATTTGCTTTTCTTTGAGCGTCTCCCCTCGCCCCCCAAGTCGGCGCTTGGCGAAGCCGCGAGGGGTTGCCATGGAGCCCTCGACCGTGATCCGGTGCTTCACTGCGGGCTCGCTGCTTTGGTCGTCGCAGTAGCGTATGCATGCCTCGCCCGTCTTCCAGACCATCTGGACGACCCGAAGCAACCCGATGCCGGCAAGCAGCAAGAGAATGTCCATGGCTGGGCATCTACGGACTCATGGGCCCAAACCTCGACTTCTGACCCCGTCATCGAGCCCCGCTGCTGGCCGGCACGCGAGAATCGGTTGATGATGCAACTCAGCGGTATGGCAAAACGGGCCAAAACCTTATATAGTCCCCCTGTGAAAACCGGGGGGGGACCCTCCTTCCCTCGATTTTCCCTAGGGTCCCCTCTTGCCTTCCTTACCTACCTGATCCTTCCCTTTCCTTCCTTAAATCTCCACAGACCCGACCCCTTTTGCAAGACAGCTTGCGGTGTCTGTGCCCGCTTCCCCCGCCGCGGCCGACCCCTACTTGGATGTTCGGCGGTGTTGCTATCTAGATGGCTTACATGACGCATTTACTGACTAAGCTATCTGCAGTTATATTTCCTCCAACATGAGTTATAAGTTGGTGTAATTCAGCCATCATGGACAGCACAAGATAGTAAGTAGCCAGTCTTAGGGCAAGTACCTACCATATAGGACAAACACATGGCTAACATATAAGTTAAGATAGCTATATGTGGGACAAGGAATTTGGCGAACTTAAGTAATATATTTGGAAGACATAGCTAAGTGCGCCAAGACATACTTAGTAAGTTGACCGCGGCCTACTTAGTAAGTTGACCACGCCATACTTATATGTTTGCCGGGTATACTTAGCAAGCTCGCTAAGTAAGCCGAGAGGCGTGTTTTTTGGATGAATATCCACAACAATACTCACAAATCATATCGTGCAGCTACTGCCACGAATGCTGGGAAAATATTTTGTTTTTGGTCGCGTAACAACGTGTAAGCGCAACATGTATAGCTATATGCGTGCCCACACATGTTAAAAACACATTTTCCCCAACCTAACCCTCCCATTTATATAAGCAACTGCGCGCCGCCCATACAAGTTTGTGAAAGGCAAACGCTGCGCGCCGGTTTGCGCGGCGGGGCCACTGCCAACGCAGGCACGGCCACTGGGATCGACAGGGGGGGGGGCAGCGTCGCCGCAAAAAGATTGGCAAAGCCACGGTTATATTACAACTCCCTATTTACATGCAAAGCTACAAGGAGTTATAACATGTGTGCTGGTTGTATAGTTTTGCTCATGGGCTTTATATAACTTCCCCAAACCGTGCACTCTGACATTTGTTCGGCAAATATAGGACAAAGGCGTCCAATTTGACAGAGCGATTCTTGGAGATGTTTTCATTTTTGGCATGTGTATTTACACGTGTGTCATCATGCCGCCGAACAACCATTTGCAAAAAGCATCTCCTTGAATAGATTTGCCATGGAAAACCCAAACGTACATCGTAGGAAAGTGTTTTGACCCCGTAGGCCGGGCTTGCGTGGGAACTTGAGCATAGTTTTCAGGGCTTGTGTTTGGGTGCATGAAACGTGTCATGGGCTTAACGTCTTGGAGGAGTTTCATTGCGTTGTGATTCGTCATGGGTCGTGGGTAGGTTCAAGTTGCTGGTATAGGGGATTGCTAGTTGATAATTCCTCAAAATGCAATGCATCATTGGGCTTGTTTGGGGGGCCACTGTTTCTAAGGGACCCGAACAAGAAACATTGGTTGCTTGAAGTGCAAATTTGTTGTGTAGCTGTGAAACACGTGGCTGGGCATGAGAGCTCGCCTCTATGCATGCTGGGCGTTAGCTCGCATGCCAAGCGTGCGCCGAAGTGTTTCGGCGCAATACTGAGACCACCTTGAGCCATGCAGTCGGCCGAGCAGGGGGGACCACATCTTGAAGAAACGGCAGACTGCGCTGCAGTTCACAAAGGCCTCAAGCTTGTACCAGCAGTACAAGACGGAACCCACAGATGGACAACCAACGACCCCTCGACCGGAAGATGCAGGCAGCAAACGAGAGTGGGAGCGCCTCATGTATAGGTGGCGGTCTGCCATGAGAGATGCAGCCGCAAGGAAAGGATGTGCATGAGTCCATCCAAGCTGGCGACATGCCGCCAATTAGAAGCGTGGACCTTGCCGCGCAACAGTCATGGGGAAAAAGGCAAGTGAATAGTTACACCCATTCATGGGGTCCAACAACCCTCCATTTTAGGGAGTTTCTCATTGATGCCCTGATGCGATTGAGAAGGGTTGTGCACTCATGCTGAAGGCTGCTTGCGGGTTGTCAAACCCACGGTCACACGTAAGCCACATGCCCATGTGCAGGGTCAACTGCAAGAATTTGCCATGTTTACCGGTGTTGGAACATGAAGGTCTAATCAGATCAGACAACGCTTTCTGGACCCGCCATTTGGCAGGCC